TTTTGTGACCAAGAGCAACGAATCCAATCCCCCAAAACACTGACCTGTCCATCTGCTTCACGCGCCGCTTCTTCATCTTGCGCACGACAGCCACAATGTGGCTCATGATGCCCAGGTCCGCCTGGTGCATGATGTCAGGCATGACAACGAGGTAGGGATTGCCCCACGCGGTCCCTGGGACATCCCACTTCCAGAGCACACACTGGAAACCGGGGATGTGGTGGGGAATGGAGGAGATCTGTACTTGTGAGACCCGGGCAGCCAACGTAAACAAAATGCCTGGTGAATTGAATGGGGCACAGCACATCTGACCATTCCTCGGGAATAAGGAGTGCATAGACTGCACAGTAGGCCGGGCAACATGTCGCTTACCTCAACAGGGTAGGTCGAGTAGGTCTTGCAGGGGTTGTCCTGGTTAGTTGTCATCCCAGCCGCCTCGTTAACGATCCATTGCTGCTGTTCAGGCGTGCGCGGCGTGTTCCGTGCCTTGACAGCAACTTGATGCTCTTGTTGTTGCACGGGGGTGTGGGATGGGATACAAAGGTAAGGGTGGTGAGTTCATGGGTTGTATAAGGCGAAATTCAAACGACAATGTCTTTGGCATGAAAGCTCACATTGCAGCATAGCAGTTTTTGCATGGCATCCGTGATCCATGCGAGAGTTTGCAACTGATCTTGCCGCTCTCGGGGTAGTCGCACACCCAGGCGTACAGCAGGGGCCGCACGGTTTGCCAATCGCCGAAAGGGTCCCTAAGACGGAACCCGCTGCAAGGAACAGGTAGAGTGGCATCATGAATTGGGAGGACATGATTTGTGCATGTACGAAGAGGGGCAAAGGGGACTGCTACATATCGTGACGCCCTGCATACTATGCACGTGATTGGGTGACGACATAGCAAGATGCAACACCGGGTACGGACCTTTCCATGCCATCGAGAAGCGGCTGCAGCACAGTGGTGACGCATCGCTGGAAGAGCATCACCTTCTCCACAGCAGACATTGCAGAAGGGGGGATAGGAAGGATGGCGAGTAGCATGTGGCCGGCTTTCCCCCATCGTTTGGCCTGGGAGATGTTGGCAAGCGTCATCATGAGCGGCCACGCCTTCTTTCAGCCGTTGTTGCTCATGTGCGTCACATCCGAATATAGGATGATTCCCCCCACGACTTGGGTCCATCCAAAGTGTTCCTGAAATGCACGACAAGGCGGCAACGGACACACGGTCAAACACCACCAAGGTAACTGGTCGCCAGGTGGGTTAAACGACCTTCATAGCATGTTCATCGAACATGACACACTCATCAAGCACCAGACACATCAGCGCAGCAATGGAGGCATGAGCACAGATCCGGTTTTGGGTGGCAACGGGGTATATCCATACCTGAGCATCATTCCACCACGTTCCTGTTTCCGGCGTGGTATAGCGACGGTCGCCTGTGTCAGGGTCCTCATCGACCCGCGCCTTGAGCTTGAAGCCGGGCGCGTTGTTGGTATGCCCAAATAGTTCAGCGAATGCCTGGTTTATGGTGGAAAAGGCAGTAGAGAAGAGGGGCATGGTTAGATTCGTTGATTGGTGGGTCCGATCTCATACAAGGAGAACGAACATAACTTCATACAAGCACCACAAGGTTGCCACATCAGCATTTCACTGCCAAGGATTCAGAGTCGGCTTACCTGAGCTGAGTTTTGGAATAGCAGGCGCTGAGGCGGATGACCGTCAATCTCGAATGTCGCCACCGACCATCCGCGATTGAGCCCTGCCAAGTGCTCCATCTCAAACCGCTCCAGATCCTTGCAGTTCCGGAGCTCCGAGGTCACAAGAGGCGCAAGGCCGGGCTCTACCACGAGCTGAAGCAAGCCAGTGATGTCAACCTCTGCCATTCCCATTCCGCCATTCACACGCCGAATGAAACGAAGCAGCTTCAACGCGAGCGGATTGAGGGGCGTGGCATCGCTCTGTCCGGAGATGCTTGTAGGCGGCGAGGCTTGACTCCCTTCAGGCTGGCTCTCAGGATGCTCACTCGTGTCAGCTGCTGGTGTTCCTGGTGGCGGTTGATGTTCATCTTCCGGAGGCCCCTCGTTAACGTCCGAGGGTGTTTCGTCCTCGTCAGCTTCAGGCACGCGAGGAGGACCGCTCACACTGACGGTGTTGGATGCGTTAGACGCGGTAGGTGAAGCGGGAGCAGCGGGAGCGTCCGAGAGAATGTCGTGACAAGGGGTCCGCCGTGACTTATGATCGCCATAAACTTGGGCGTTGGGGAACCATCTGTTGCAAAACTCGCAGACAACGCCTGGCAAAGAGCCCATGTGTTACGGATCCGTCTTAGAGTGGAGTAATGGCCTATGAAGCAAATAGCCTGTTTGAAGTTTGTGAACGCATTATATACACCGTCAACGAAGGCTGTGACTACAACACGGTCATCGCCAAAGCGCGAACTCTCCATGGCGGCTTGTATCTCTGCACGACTGGCACTTGAGCGTGGCGCGATGGTTAGGGACTGGCTAACGATGGTCGAGCAGAGCGGCCGTGAAAAGGCACGATACAGACCGCCAAAAGCACGGCATTTCCCTTTCCTACAAGGCGTGTCGCCCCCTCTTAGAGCGACCACGACGTGAACAGGGCCATATGCACTGGAGTTTAGCACGCTTGGTCGTGAGTGTGCGTCGCGAGCACGGTGAGAAGTACGTGCCTCTTGATTCAAAACTTGGGTTTTTGAATCGTGCGTGAGAGTCGAGGGGGGTGAGGAAGAGAGGGACGAGATCCGTTTGGTGCTGTGATTCTTTCTCAAGTGCTATAGGGGGGAAATCGCAATCACGTAGGTGAGCCCAAAATGGTGCGCACCTCTAGAGAATTAATCCAAACCAGGTAATGACAATGTACAGTTACATTTTACATAGACACTCGATTCAATTATAATTAGTATTATACAAACATACTTATGGGCCTGCACAAAAACAACCCCTAATTGACAACGGTAGTTTTTGTAAACCCTCCTAGTTCTCTAGTGTGGTATGGAAACATACGGGTATTACCCATGAACTCAGTGTGTTTCCGTAAGATTGTTGCATGTACCGAATATGTATATCGTCACTTCACAAGAGGTTTTGGGGACCTCAAAGCACCGTGCTGCATTAACATGCAAGAATGGAGCCCAATCTAATACAATAATACAACGGTTTTGTCGTCGGATGCAATACCACAACGGTTTCACCATGACATGCAACACATGGGAGTGAACGATGCAGCGTCGCCCTGTATAAGCATGGCTATCGATAACGCATCACTGCTTGTGCGTTAGCCCTCTGCTTCATACCACTCCCTTTATGCACCTTGTATAAGGTCCATGCAAGTATTGAGCACAATCCAACACCATACCACAACGGTTTCACCATGTCGCGCAAAACATGGGCCTGAACGATGCAGCGTCGCCCGGTCTAAACATGGCTGTCGATAATGCATCACCGCTTGCGCGTTAGCCCTGTGCTTCAAACCAAACCCTTTATGCATCTTTTACAAGGTCCATGCAAGAATTGAGCCCAATCCAACACCATACCACAACGGTTTCACCATGTCGCGCAAAACATGGGCCTGAACGATGCAGCGTCGCCCGGTCTAAACATGGCTGTCGATAATGCATCACCGCTTGCGCGTTAGCCCTGTGCTTCAAACCAAACCCTTTATGCACCTTTTACAAGGTCCATGCAAGAATTGAGCCCAATCCAACACCATACCACAACGGTTTCACCATGTCGCGCAAAACATGGGCCTGAACGATGCAGCGTCGCCCTGTCTAAACATGGCTGTCGATAATGCATCACCGCTTGCGCGTTAGCCCTGTGCTTCAAACCAAACCCTTTATGCACCTTTTACAAGGTCCATGTAAGAATTGAGCCCAATCCAACACGATACCACAACGGTTTCACCATGTCTCGCAAAACATGGGCCTGAACGATGCAGCGTCGCCCTGTCTAAACATGGATGTCGATAGCGCATCACCGCTTGCGCATTAGCCCTGTGCTTCATACCACACCCTTTATGCAACTTTTATAAGGTCCACACAAGTGTTGAGCACAATCCAACACCATACCACAACTGTTTCTCGTTTGGCACTTGTGATCGTCGTGTTAGATTTCGTACAGCAACGCGTAACCGTTGTGGCATAGCCTAATAGTGCTTAGTTCAATTGTATGAAGTAATAATTCTAGACGCTCTTTGTGTGTGTGACATGATACAAACCCACTACCTTGCCACAACCCCAGACTATTACATTAGCAACCAATTTGTTGTTGATTGTATTTATTGTAGTTTTAAATGTTATTTAGCTCGGATGTGCAACATTGTTCGTTCGCGACATCACTGTACTTTGCAGGGTTTAGGTTGCGTTCGCTCAATTGGTTCAAAAACTGTTCTAGCATGAAAAGTGATTGATGCGTTGGCAACACTGATTGGCCGACGCATCTCAAACGACCCCTCCCGCAACACAAGCACCCGCCATTAAAGCGGATGTGATCGAGCGGTGGGTGGGTTTATGATCGGGTGGCTAAACGTACACCGTCCGATCTAGCCTGATCTGATTACAGTCATCTCTCTAGTCTCGCCAGCCACCCCAACCACCCTCGTGCCCCACCCACCTGCTTCCGTCACCCTCTGGCCCACAACTTTGACGCTGCTCGCTGTTTGACGCAGGCATTTCCAGATCGCGCATGACTCACCAGCTGACTAAGGTAGTGGGCCGTAGCTCTGTGCTTAGTGACTACTATTTCAGGGTAATTAAAGCGGAGGTTTTCGGAGACCGTCGAGTCTCCCTTCGTTACATTCCTTTGCGGTTCCCCTGGTAAACCGCCTCCACCGTTCCGCACGTTCGAAATTAGCATTCGTACTACAACCATGACACATGCAACTCGGCAAAAAGAAAAGGAGGAGGAACAGGCCGGACGACGCGCGACAAGGAGGTTGTCTCTTCAGACTGATCGGGAGCGTGGTGGCGGATCTAAAGCTACTAATGCGTTCGCCGCGACTGGCATTCAACAGAAAAAAAGTGGCGGGAAAAAAGGCCGCGCAAGGACAGGAGAAGTATGGGAAGAAGGCGGAAGACAAGGCGAAGCAACCAACGCCACGCAAGCGTGTTTCTACCGTGAAAAAAGATGCGGATGTTGCCTCTGGTGGAACCGAGCCCGGTCCGACTAACGACGGCACCATCGGCGGCAAAGAAGATCCGGGGCGAGGGAGCGTGAGTCTTGCAGTCCCGTTGGCGGAGAGAGAGGGCTCGGCGACAGGGGGAAACCACGGCGACGCTCCCCGCGCCAAGCATGCCGCAACCCAGGAGTCCGAGGCGGAGGCATACCAACACGGACTGACGCTGCTCCAGCCGACCGTGGTCGAGATTTCTACTGCCGTGGTGGATAAGGCCAAGGCGGGGGAGCACGATTCGATGGAGGATCTCCAACACAGCATCGCGGACGTAGGTGGCTCTCCTCCTTCTGGTGGACGTGGGAGGCGTAGGCAGAGGAAGAGCGATGGGGAGGAAGAGTATGACACCGCCGTGCCCGGGGACATCAATACGCGGTCGAAGAGGCGGCAGAAAACAGGCGGTGCTGACGACGCCGGTGGTGCGGAAGTTGGGACAACGCGAGGCGACAGGGAAGCAAGTGGCAAGGCGACGGGTCATGCATTGCGCAAGAAGGGCCGACCCGCAGCGAGGAGAACATCCGGCGGAAAGAGGGGCAAGAAAGCGGGGGATGCGGGGGATAAGGAGGAGGAGGAGGAGGAAGAGGAGGAGGAGGAAGAGGAGGAGGAGGAGGAGGACAAGGAGGGGGGCGACGAGGATGAGGAGGAGGAGGAGGAGGAGGAGGAGGAGGAGGAGGAGGAGGAGGAGGAGGAGGAGGTGTCAAACATATATGCTTAGTTATATCTAGGCTTAGTTTATGTGTTTACAGTTGTCTAGGCTATAGTGGGTTTAGCCTTAGGGGGTACAGAATTTCTCTCGACATTCTACTTGTACCCCTCCCCCGTTCCTAGTCATTCATTCTCGCCTACTATTCTCACATGGTATTAAGAGCATTACCTTCCTAGGATCCTAACTTTAATGGGCCCACCACCTAAGTAACTGCTAGCCTAGGCCCCGTGGCGTCGCCCATAGCCCCTAGGCTCGGCCCCTTGGCCCGTCGCCCCTAGGCTCGGACCCTTGGCCCATCGCCCCTAGGCTCGGCCCCTTGGCCTGTCGCCCCTAGCTCGGCCCCTCAGCCCCGTCGCCCCGTCGATTCCGTCGCCCTCGCCCGGCCCGTTCCTAGCCCCACGATCGGCCCGTACCTAGCCTCGCGCACGACCCCGTTCCTAGCCCCGCGATCGGCCCGTACCCGCCCCGCGATCGGCCCGTACCCTTCCCGCGCTCGGCCCCGTTCCTAGCCCCGCGCCCGGCCCGTACCTAGCCTCGCGACCGGCCCGTACCCTGCCCGCGCACGGCCCCGTCTCTCGTTCGCGCTCGGCTCGTACCTAGCCCCGTGCCCGGCCCGTACCTAGCCCAGCGCACGGCCCCGACCCTAGCCAGCGCCCGGCCCCGTACCTAGCCCGCGCCCGGCCCCTTCTGTCGCCAGCGCCTGGCTCCGTACCTAGCCTCGCGCCCGCCCCCCCGTCCTTTGCCCAGCGCCCGACCCCGTCTCTTGCCAGCGCTCGGCCCCGTACCTAGCCCCATTCCGCGCCCAGCGCCCGGCCCCGTACCTGCTCAGCGCCCGGCCCCGTACCTGCCCAGCGCCCGGCCCCATACCTGCCCAGCGCCCGGCCCCGTACCTGCCCAGCGCCTGGCCCCGTACCTGCCCAGCGCCCGGCCCCGTATCTGCCCAACGCCCGGCCCCGTACCTGCCCAACGCCCGGCCCCGTACCTACCCAGCGCCCGGCCCCGTACCTGCCCAGCGCCCGGCCCAGTACCTGCCCAGCGCCCGGCCCCGTACCTGCCCAGCGCCCGGCCCCGTACCTGACCTGCGCCCGGCCCCTTGTTTGGCCCCTCGGCCCCCCCTAGGCCCCTCGGCCCCCCTAGGCCCCCCGGCCCCTTGTTTGGCCCCACGGCCCCTCGGCCCCACCTCAGAGCCCGGCGCCCGGCCCCCCGGCCCCTTGTTTGGCCCCTCGGCCCCCTAGGCCCCTCGGCCCCCTAGGCCCCTCGGCCCCCCTAGGCCCCCCTCGGCCCCTTGTTTGGCCCCGCGGCCCCTAGGCCCCTCGGCCCCACCTCATAGCCCAGCGCCCGGCCCCCCCTGCCCCTTGTTTGGCCCCTCGGCCCCCTAGACCCCTCGGCCCCCCTAGGCCCCCCGGCCCCTTGTTTGGCCCCGCGGCCCCCTAGGCCCCTCGACCCCACCTCAGAGACCGGCGCCCGCCCCCCCCCCCCCCCCCCCGGCCCCTTGTTTGGCCCCTCGGCCCCCTAGGCCCCTCGGCCTCCCTAGGCCCCCCCGGCCCCTTGTTTGGCCCCGCGGCCACTAGGCCCCTCGGCCCCACCTCATAGCCCGGCGCCCGGCCCCCCAGCCCCTTGTTTGGCCCTTCGGCCCCCTCGGCCCCTCGGCCCACCTAGGCCCCCCCCGGCCCCTTGTTTGGCCCCGCGGCCCCTAGGCCCCTCGGCCCCACCTCAGAGCCCGGCGCCCGCCCCCCCGGCCCCTTGTTTGGCCCCTCGGCCCCCCCTAGGCCCCTCGGCCCCCCTAGGCCCCCCCGGCCCCTTGTTTGGCCCCGCGGCCCCTAGGCCTCTCGGCCCCCTAGGCCCTCTTGTGTGGCCCCTCGGCCCCTAGGCCCCTCGGCTCCGCCCCTTCGCTACTATTACTGCTGTTCCTGCTGCTCCTACTGCCGCCCCGCGCGCCGCCTAGATTGCCCACTATGACTTCTCTTCGTCGTCGTGGTGGGAGTGGTGACGGCGGTGGTGGAGGCAGTGGGGGTGGTGGCGGCCGTCCAAGCAGTCGGTGTGGAGCTGTTCGGTGGGGAGCTTCTGGCGGTGGCCAGCAGCGTCAGCGCGAGTCCCTTACACCCCAGCAGCTACGTGAGTGGTGCACTAGTAGGGGTGGTGGCGGTGACAGTAGTGGCGGTCACTCTGCAGCTGTTCAGTTGGGAGTTCCTGGCGGTGGCCTGACGCACCTGCAGCGGCGTCCGCGCGAGACCCTTACGCCTTAGCAGCTTCGTGAGTGGTATGTTCAGCGTGGGGCGTCTCCGAGTAGTACTCGCTGCCCGTACGTCATTCGCACAGGTGACCGGGCTGGTCAGACTTGCGGGACATTTGGTCACACACAGTCTCGCTGCTTCTCCTGTCTGAGCGACACCTGGCGTGCAGAGTTTGGCGACGCGACTGAGCTTCCCCGCTGGCTCGAGCTGGCTAGGCAGCGAGTGGATATCTTTGCTCTATACTATGATGCTATTCTCACTGCTATGTATGCTTTGTCTTTTAGTGCGGAGGGTGAATGTTCCCGGTGTGTGCCACCTGACCCAGGTGTGGCGGCTGCTGCTCTAGGTGCTAGTGCGTTTGGTACTCCCCCTGGTACTGCGCCTGTTGAGGCCTTGCACTCCTTCACGTTGGACTCCGGCGCCTCGCGCTGTTTCTTTCGTGACAGCACCACTCTCACTCCTCTTCCTGCACCTCTTCCGGTCAGACTGGCTGACCCCTCTGGGGGCCCGGTCGTTGCCAGTTCCTCCACTGTCCTCCCGTGTCCGGCGGTTCCGTCCGGCTCACTGTCAGGTCTTCACCTCCCCTCGTTCTCTACGAACTTGGTGAGTACCGCTGCCCTTCAGGATGCGATGGTCACTACCACCACTCCTGGGGGTCAGCGTGTGTCGATCTGCACGTGCACACGGACGGGGCGTCACCTGGCTACGTTCACTCGTCGGCCAGGGTCGAGTCTGTACACACTGGCTACCGAGCCTCCTCAGGTCGCTGCGTCTGCTCAGGTGTCCGCGTCAGGTCAGGTAGCCGCCTCTTGCTCGTGTCGCCTCCTGTCGCACCAGACTCTTCTTTGGCACCACCGCCTTGGTCACCCCTCCCTGCCACGCCTTCGTGGCATGCACTCCCGTCTCCTTGTCTCTTGTCTCCCCAGGTCTCTGCCTCCCCTGCCGCCCTCACCTGCCCCGCCCTGTCTTCCTTGCGTCGAGGGGCGGCAGCGCGCCGCTCCTCACTCCTCCTCGTTTCCCCCGACGACTGCTCCCCTGCAGACCCTCCACATGGACGTGTGGGGCCCAGCCCGCGTCAGTGGACAGGGCCGCGAGCGCTACTTTCTGCTGGTCGTTGACGACTACACGCGGTACACCACAGTCTTCCCCTTGCGCAGCAAGGGTGAAGTCTCTGCTGTCTTGATCCCTTGGATCCGCACAGTCCGTCTCCAGCTGCGCGAGCGTTTTGGCCAGGACCTTCCTGTCCTGGGTCTGCACTCTGACAGAGGTGGTGAGTTCTCCTCTGACCTCTTGCGGGACTTTTGTCGTGGGGAGGGCATTCTCCAGTCGTTCACGCTTCCGGACTCCCCTCAGCAAAATGGGATTGCTGAGCGCCGCATTGGCTTAGTCATGGAGGTCGCTCGTACCTCCATGATTCATGCGGCCGCTCCCCATTTTCTGTGGCCGTTTGCGGTCCGGTACGCTGCGCATCAGCTCAACCTTTGGCCCCGTGTCTCCTTGCTAGAGACCTCGCCCACACTGCGTTGGACGGGGAAGGTTGGCGATGCGTCGGTGTTCCGGTTCTGGGGTTCTCGTGCCTTTGTTTGCGATACGTCCGCGGTTAAGCTCTCCGCCCGCGCCATTCCCTGCGTCTTCCTTGGCTTTGTCCCTGACGCGCCTGGCTGGCAGTTTTACCACCCCACCTCGCGCCGTGTCCTCCCTTCTCAGGACGTCACGTTCGACGAGTCGGTTCCCTTCTACCGTCTCTTCCCCTACCGCTCTGCCCCTTCCCCACCCCCGCCGCTCTTCCTTGCTCCCGGTCCACCTCCGGTAGACCCCCTTCCGCCCCAGGGTCCTGCTCCCTCGGGAGTGTCTCAGGTAGACCCTCTCCCTGGTACTGCGCCTGTTCAGGTAGCTGTCGTCTCAGGTGCTGCTCCAGGTGCTGCGTCTGGGGGTGCTGCGTCTGGGGGTGCGGAGCTGGGGGGTGCGGGGTCTGAGGGTGCTGGGTCTGGGGGTGCGGAGCCTGGGGGTGCTGAGTCGGAGGGTGCGGAGTCTGGGGGTGCTGAGCCTCGGGGTGCTGCTTCATCTGGAGGTCTTGCTAGTGCTTCACCGCGACTGTCCTCGCAGCAGCTACGTGAGTGGCTTGTTCAGCGCCCACACCGTCGGAGTGGAGCTGCTGGGGCTGGCGAGCCTGGAGACGCTGGAGCTGGAGGTGCCGCTGTTACTACTGGAGCTGGAGACCCTACGGAGCCTGGAGCAGCTGGCGCCGGAGGCACTGGAGCTGGTGTAGCTGGAGTTGGAGGCTCTGGCGCAGGAGGCGCTGGAGCTGCAGGAGCTGGAGCTGTTGACCCTGGAGCTGGAGGTGCTGGAGGCACTGTGCGGCCGCGCCCGTACTTCGTTCCCCTGCTTCAGCAGGTTCTTGGTGTCCCGTCTTCTACTGGTCTTCTTCCTCCCTTCCTGTGTCCACCGCCTGACCAGTCGCAGCCGCCGTTACAGCCAGCCTCCCCACTGCCTGTTCCCTCTCCTTACACTGAGCAGTCCGAAGGTCTTACAGGGCGTCGTGAGCCTGCGTCTCGTCCTGTCTCGCCTGTTCGCACTGCTCGTCGCGCTCCTCGTTCGCGTCCTCCTCCTGTCCCAGGCACGCACACCATGGCACTCCGTCCTTCCTCTGTTCCCCTGAGTGTTCCTTGTGAGAATCGAGGAAGGAATGATTCACTAGAAAGCAATTGAGTACATATGGGAAACCCTAACAGGGTTGTACTCACTATGGAGTACCCCACTGCAGACTAGAGAAACATGATATTCTGACACACCCCCATAGTCAAAGTGGGGTATGATCAGCACAAGAAGCAAAGCAAAGCAAGCTCAGGGTGGATCACAATGTCACCACACATTCTGAGCACAAGTACAAGAAGTAACAGTTTAAAGTTCACAATAAATAAGCAAAGCTAGAGGCTATCACAGAGGGCAAGTGAGGAGGAGGAGGCTGGACTAATAGGAGAGGAGAGAGGAGGCAACGGCGGAAGCTGCAGACACACGGGCAACAGGAGCGGCGCGCACTGTGGCTACCGGAGGCGCACCTCCGGACTACAGGAGTAACTGGCTCCGCGGCTAAGACGAGCGGCAGGAGCAACGGACCCACGGGCGACTGGCGCAGCGGCATCACTGGGCTACCGGAAGCGCACCTCCGGACTACTGGCACTGCTAGCAACACGACGGCTACCTCCACCCAACCTCCCTCTACTGCCGCACCCCCCATTCACACACCCCCTGCTGCACCCCTAGGTTCACTCACACGTCACCCCCTAGCACCACGCCTTTGGCTCACACTCATCCACCCCCCTCAGCGGCAGCTGCAGTAGTGGGAGACAAAGGAGGAGGAGGGGAAGGGAATCATACCACCCATCACCCCCATACCCACCACCCCCAGACCCTCCGTTCCACGGCTGCACGCGCAGCAGGGAGACGAAGAAGGGGGGGGGGGGGGGAGAGCAGCAACGGGCAGCAACGGGCGGCAATGGGCAGCACAGGGAGGCGGCGGCACCGGGTCCAGGGGCGGCGTCGCGGGGTCCAGGGGCGGCTGCTCCAGGGGTCAGGGGCGGCTGCTGAGGTCCAGGGGCGGCTGCACCAGGGGCGGCTGCTCTGGGTCCAGGGGCGGCTGCTCCAGGGGCGGCTGCACCAGGGGCCAGGGGCGGCTGCTGAGGTCCAGGGGCGGCTGCACCAGGGGCGGCTGCTCCAGGGGCCAGGGGCGGCTGCTCCAGGGGCGGCTGCACCAGGGGCCATGGGCGGCTGCACCAGGGGCCAGGGGCGGCTGCTCTGGGTCCAGGGGCGGCTGCTCCAGGGGCGGCTGCACCAGGGGCGGCTGCTCCGATGCGCGGTCCCCCCCAGGTCGCCCCTCCCGTCGCCTGTTGAGGCGACCTGAGGGGGGGGGAGGGGGGGGGGGGGGGGGGGGGGGGGGAAGGAGTACGGGGGGCCGACGCGCGGCCTCCCAGGACGCCAGAACAGGCGGAAGGAGGGGCGACGCGCGCCCCCCCAGGTCGCCCCTCCCGTCGCCTTGCGTGGCGAGCGGGGGGGGGGGGGTTGCCACGTAAGGCGACGGGAAAAGGGGGGGGGGGCGGTGCACGGGCCCCTGGTGCGCCACGACAGGCATGAGGAGGGCGGGGCCTGGGCAGGGTCGGGGCATGGCAGGGGCAGGGCCGCGATAGGGCCGCGACAGGGTCAGGGCAGGGCCGCGACAGGTACGGGACAGGGGCGGCGCCGGGCGACGGGGCAGGGCCGATACGGGGGGCCGCGACAGTGGGCCGCGACGGGGCCTTACGGGGCCTGACGGGGCCTGACGGGGCCGCAAACGGGGCCTGACGGGGCCTTACGGGGCCTGACGGGGCCGGACGGGGCCGCAAACGGGGCCTGACGGGGCCGTACGGGGCCTTACGGGGCCGCAAACGGGGCCTAACGGGGCCGCAAACAGGGCCTGACGGGGCCGGACGGGGCCTTACGGGGCCGCAAATGGGGCCTAACGGGGCCTTACGGGGCCGCAAACGGGGCCTTACGGTGCCGCAAACGGGGCCTAACGAGGCCTTACGGGGCCGCAAACGGGGCCTGACGGGGCCTTACGAGGCCTGACGGGGCCGTACGGGGCCTTACGGGGCCTTACGGGGCTACGCGGCTCCTGGCCAGGCCGCGACGCAGCTGCTTTGGGGGCCGGCGCTGGCTCTAAGGGCAGGTACAGGGGCCGCTACGGGCCGAAAAGGGCAGGCGCGACGCGCGCGTCGGGCAGGTAAGGGAAAAAAAATTTTAAACGTGGTGGGCCCTTAGGAAGGATCGAAATTGCTCTATACCATGTGAGAATCGAGGAAGGAATGATTCACTAGAAAGCAATTGAGTACATATGGGAAACCCTAACAGGGTTGTACTCACTATGGAGTACCCCACTGCAGACTAGAGAAACATGATATTCTGACATTCCTCTGCCTGCTCCTCTTGAGTCCTCTCTTCCTGAGGTCCCTGACCCTGAGTCTGACCGAGCGCGTGCTGCCAGTCCCACTGTCGCTCGTCTCCTTGCCACTGCTGTCACTGACCCGTCCTTTGAGTCTGCTGCTGCTTCTGCTCTCGTTGCTGAGCTACTTGACTTTGCTGCTGCCTGCCGTCTCGACTACGCCTCTGCTCTAGTTGCTGAGTCTGTGCCTACCAGTCCTCCGTCCGTCGGGGGTGAGTGTGCTCTTGGCACGGACGTCCTTGATGACAGGCAGGAGGACTTTGAGTGTCTTGCAGCTGCTGTACCTCGTTTCGCTTCCTTGCTGCTTGCCCCTGAGGGAGACCCGGATGCTCCAGACATCCCGACCCCGCGCTCTTACGCAGAGGCGATTACGGGTCCTTACTCCTCTCAGTGGCAGGCAGCTATGGATGCCGAGATGGCATCCTGGAAGTCCATAGGCACTTACGTCGACGAGGTTCCCCCACCTGGGGTGAACATAGTCGATGGCATGTGGATCTTCAGGGTGAAGCGGCCGCCGGGTTCTCCGCCTGCCTTCAAGGCACGTTACGTTGCTCGAGGTTTCAGTCAGCGATAGGGAGTTGACTACTTCCAGACCTTCTCCCCCACCCCGAAGATGACTACTCTTCGGGTGTTGCTGCACGTAGCTGCTTAGCGTGACTACGAGTTACACTCCCTGGACTTCAGTACAGCCTTCCTGCAGGGCAGCCTGCACGAGGAGATCTGGCTGCGCCGACCACCTGGTTTCACTGGGTCGTTTCCTACAGGTACCCAGTGGAGCCTCCGCCGGCCAGTCTACGGTCTCCGCCAGGCGCCTCACGAGTGGCACGACACACTCAGGAATACACTTGCAGCTCTTGGGTTTGTTCCTTCTACAGCAGACCCGTCGCTGTTTCTACGCACCGACACCTCGCTGCCGCCCTTCTACGTCCTAGTGTACGTCGACGTCCTCGTCTTTGCCACGGTTGACACTGAGGCACTGACCCTTGTGAAGTCCGAGCTGCAGAAGAGACATACCTGCACTGACCTGGGTGAACTGCGCAGCTATCTTGGCCTGCAGATCACCCGGGACAGAGCATGGCGCACCATCACCCTGACTCAGTCACACATGGTGCACCAGGTCCTTCAGCGCTTCGGCTTCCAGCACTCCTCGCCACAGCTCACTCCTCTGTCTACCAGCCACTCGCTCTCAGCTCCACCTTCGGACGAGTCCGTAGAGCCGAGTGGTCCGTACCCAAAGCTTGTGGGTTGCCTCATGTACTTGATGACTTGCACACGACCTGACCTCGCGTACCCTCTCAGCCTTCTGGCTCGCTACGTGGCTCCCGGTAAGCACCGAAAGGTGCACTGGGATGCTGCGAAGAGGGTACTGCGTTACCTGTGCAGTATGTTGGGCATGGGGCTTGTGCTTGGAGGACGGGGTCCTGTTGTCCTCACTGGTCACGCAGACGCCTCCTGGGTTGACGACTCAGCTACGCAGCAGTCGTCGCAGGGTTACACCTTCAGCCTTGGGTTCGGCTCGGTTTCTTGGCGGTCTACCCGCTCGTCTTCAGTTCTCAGCTCCAGTTGTGAGGCTGAGATCTACGCCGGAGCCATGGCTGCTCAGGAGCTACGCTGGCTCACGTACTTGCTGACCAACTTGGGAGAGCAGCCTCGTTCGCCTCCAGTCCTGTACGTAGACAACAAGGCCATGATAGTCTTGTGTCAGAAGCACAGACTGGAGCACAGAACGAAGCACATTGCTCTGCGATACTTCCTTGCTCGAGAGTTGCAGCAGCGTGGTCAACTTCGTCTAGCGTACATGGCCACTCGGGCCAACACTGCTGATGTCTTCACCAAGGCACTTCCGCCTGGTGACCATCAGCGCTTTGTTTATTGTGTTAGGCCTTGTGCCTACTTTACCTCACTTACTTACTGCCTGACTCTGCCTGTACTGTGATCTGTCTATATACCTGCATGCTTGCACTTGTTAGGGTATGATCACTGTATTGTTTGTTCACTTTATATAACTCTGCATGTGAACTGGCCTTGTGGCTCTTTGCTTGTGCTCGGACTGTGTGGTGACTTTGTGATCCACGCTGACCTTGCTTTGCTTTGCTTCTTCTCTTGACTGGTCTTGTGACCATTGCTTGTTCTGGCTATCCCCCACTTCGCCTATGGGGGTGTGTCAAACATATATGCTTAGTTATATCTAGGCTTAGTTTATGTGTTTACAGCTGTCTAGGCTATAGTGGGTTTAGCCTTAGGGGGTACAGAATTTCTCTCGACATTCTACTTGTACCCCTCCCCCTTTCCTAGTCATTCATTCTCGCCTACTATTCTCACAGGAGGAGGAGGAGGAGGAGGAGGAGGAGGAGGAGGAGGAGGAGGAGGAGGAGGAGGAGGAGGAGGAGAGGGACGACGAGGAAGAGGAGGAGGAGGAGGAGGAGGAGGAAGAGGAGGAGGAGGAGGAGGAGGAGGAGGAGGAGGAGGAGGAGGAGGAGGAGGAGGAGGAGGAGGAGGATGTGGCGGCAGTGAAAGGACGGGGCGGTCGAGGCAGACGGGGAAGTGGTACAGGGAAGGTGGGGGGCCGGACTTGCCATTCCCGAAAACGCGGGGCGGGTGACGCCCCGCGTGGCGAAGCAGCGGGCAAACCGAAGATGCGTAAAGTGAAGGTCGAAAGCGAAGGAGTTGGTAAGAAGCAAGGGAGCCAGGGATCAAAAGGGGATGGTGAAGGAAAGGGCGGCCGCGCCAAAGGGGTTCCAGTGGGTTCCGGCAACAAAGAACCAGCCAGTAAACGTCGCAGCGGCCGCCAAAGCACCCCGCGGAAAGGTGGCAACGAGAAGGCGCAGGCAGCAAGAAAACCGAAGGGACAGCTGAAAGGTAAGCATAGTGGCCCATACACATTTCTTCACATTGTTTCCCCCCTGCAGGGAAGGAGATGGTCGACGAATCTGCAAAGCAAGGTAAGGCCTCTTGTTACAAAACAGTAACCGTTTTAACCCGATTTAGATTCAAAACGCTGATCGTACGCAAGCATGTGTGCCCCTGTATTGAAACTAATCGACTCTAATTTTGTGCTCCTGCTCCCTATAAATCTCAGCCCCTCGTGTTACAAGCATTGGGCCACCGGTAAGCGTGCAACGGATGCAGCTAACAAAGGGGGCCGGAAGAGCGAGTGTTACCCCGCTATCCATAGGAGCCCCAAGGTTCTACACGCCATACTCCGGCCCGTCTAAAGTCGCTGCCAGGGCACCCGGCGCACCAAGAGGAGAGGAATCCGAATCCCCTCCACCAGGCCACGTCACGCACTCCCTACTCTGTCAGAATGTATTTGTTGTTTAGCCTGCAGTGGGGTACTCTGTAGTGAGTACAACCCAATTTAGGGTTTGCTATTTGTATCCCAACTTTCTATAGTGAAACCACTCATTCTCCTTTCCAATTCTCTCGACACTCAATTCTCTCGACACTCACCTCTCTCGACACTCACTAGCTATGGCTCCTAAGTCACGCTAGGATTCTAACACACTCGCCTCACCCACATACCCATTTCGGCAGCTCCACGCTTCTCCTGTCTGGGGCAGGGCCGTCTCCCCCCTCGCCGGTCCTTCGCGCGGCCAAGGGCCAAGCACTTCTGCCAATCCCTTCCCTGAGCTGCCCTTTTTCCCGCCAGCGTGATAGTGTGAGGGCACACGGGACTGCTGCAGAAGACGTTGATCCCCTTGGCCAGAAGGGGGATTCTTCACACCCTTTTCCCCCGCTCTTGGGTGCCCTAGGTGAAAGTGCGGAGCACGAGCAGTTTGTTACACGGGAGGAGTTCCAGGCGCTACGGTCTGAGATGTACGCCATGTTTGCTCAGCTCGGCCTGCGTCGTGGAGCACCTGCCAGTTATGCCGGGGGGTCCGCAATGGTGCATATGAAAGGTATCCCGCCGCCGATGAGTGCCGTGGAGAAGGCACGAGTGCTAGTGTTGCAGGAGACAAACCCATTCCCAGTATGTGGCAGGCCAAATGGGGCGGGTTGGGGTTGACGTGGCAACCAGGGCGGGGTTGGGGATGACGGGGCGGTTTTGGAGGGTATAAGGGAGCGGCGCATGACGAGGCGAGGCGTGTTAGGTGGGTGGGGGGTGATGTGGCTTGGGGTGGGGGAGGGTGACGTGGCGGAAGGTGAGGTTGGGGATGACGTGACGGATGGGATGGGTACAAGGGAGCGGCGCATGACGAGACGAGGCGTTTAAGGTGAGGGTTGGGGATGACGTGGCTTGGGGTGGGGGGGTGTGACGTGGGAAGTGGGGCGGGTTGTTGGTGGACGTGGCCGATGCAGGAGGGTGTGACGTGGCGGAAGGTGAGGGTTGGGGATGACATGGCGGTTTGAAAGGGCACACGTGAGCGGCGCATGATGAAGCGAGGCGTGTCAGGTGGGTGGGGGGTGACGTGGCTTGTGGTAGGGGGGTGTGATGTGGCAAGTGGGGCGGGTTGTTGGTGGACGTGGCGGATGCAAGAGGGTGTGACGTGGCGGAAGGTGAGGGTTGGGGATGACGTGGCGGTTTGAAAGGGTACACGTGAGCGGCGCATGACGAAGCGAGGCGTGTCAGGTGGGTGGGGGGTGACGTGGCTTGTGGTAGGGGGGTGTGACGTGGCAAGTGGGGCGGGTTGTTGGTGGACATGGCGGATGGCGCAGGGTGTGACATGGCAAGTTCACACAGTGTTGTTAGTCACCATCCCCTGGTCATGCGGCCACCCTCATAACTGCTGGTTTCTCTCTCTCATGTCGTGTTGTATACCCTACACCTCTGCGCAGAATAAAGCCTACTTAGTGTGCTCTCAGCTTATGTTTCTAAACCCGCCGGAGAAAATACAGTACTACCCTACACCGGAGGAAGTGTTCGACGCGTTCTCTGTCCACTTGTCTGCAGAAGGGCTCGAGGCAATGAAGCTGCTGTGGTTGCACAATGACAAGTCAACCATGGGAGTCTTCAACCACCAGCTGTCCTCAACAAGGTCAACTATCAACTCCACCCTCAGGCCAGCAGCATACACCGGCATGGGCCTTGCCGATTACCACCATCTCGTTGAAAGCCTGCTCACTGAGCTACACCCAACGACCTGGTTCGACGACGATCAACTCCTAGCCGAGTACAGAGATGGTATGTGCAACTGGAAAACACCATATGCCAGTTGGCAGCTACATATCACCGTGCGATGTGGCTCACCCTGACTCTCATCCCCCCACTTGATTTCTCTACAAAACCCTTTCCAACCCTTACCCTCCCTGCCAAAATGCAGAACAGTGGGCCCTCAACTGACACTTTGACAAGGCCACCGGGACGCCCTTCAGCAACCCCTTGTTCGCTTATGCGTTCAAGCTCTCCTTCAAGAGGGGCGGGGCGGTGTTCACAAAGTTCAAGAGCCGCATGGTGGCATGGGGCCTGTTTTCGGTAAGGATGTAGATATGTGTTTGTACCCCCATGCCTCATCCCCTTCACCCCTTGCTTGTACTTCAGCTAAATCCCTGATCAATTAAGCCTTTGGAGTTACGTAGATAGTGACGACCGAATCACCGCTTTCAGTTGGCTCATTTACCCGCAACCCACCCTCCTCATAAACCATCCACCCAACCCTACACCACATTGCAGATCGAATGGCCCCTTCTGCAGGATAAGCGTCGCAAGCGAATCAGTAGCCAGCTGGAACAGAACAGGCCAGACTACCAAGAGTGGTGTGAAAAGGTCAAACAGATGATCCACTTTGCTTTCGTGGAGCGGAGGATCCCCCACGATCCGGCGAGGGGTGCGTTCGTCTTTCCGAACAAGTTCCTCATCGACGATGGCGACCTTGGAGATGTCGTCCTTGCCCACCGGGCGCTTTCAAGGCCCGCCAGTGCGTAGGCTATTTGACCTGGTGCTAAGACTGATTGTAGCTAGTAGAATGCTGAATAATGGTTGTTGTAAACCGCAATAATAAATGCAATTTCAAAAATCCTCAATATCCAAAATAAACAAAAACAGAATTTAGTTTTGAATAATTTGGTCACGAATTTGCAACAAAACGGATTGCGCCCGAATGTCATCCGGAAAACCACGCGTGCCAAATTGGAACTTGAACCGAGCCAAACGTTGTCGCGAGATGTGTCTCGGAGCTCCTATCAAATGACTCCAACTGTCGGTCCAAATTGAATCCGGATTTTTTTACGCGAAGACAATCGAAATCAAAATTCGTCCAAACTTGGCATAGGGTTTTTGTGATGTAGTACTGCTGCGGTCTGCATAGATGGGCGGGTCAGTGCATCGGCGATGTTGTTGGTGCCCTTCTTGTACATGATGGTGTAGCTGAATTTGGACTCGTGATAGTCGAGCCACCTGATTTGTCGCGGGTTGAGCAGTGGTTGGCTGCGCATGTACTGTAATGATTTGTGGTCTGTCCTTATCGTAACGTCGGCTCCCGTGAGGTAGCAGTGCCAGGTACGAAATGCATGCACGATGGCGAGCATTTATTTGTCGTGTACAGGGTAGTTGCGCTCGGGTGGCTGCATCTTGCGTGATTCGTACGTGATGGGCTGCAGCCCGTTGCCGAAGTCCTATAGAAGGACGGCGCCGATAGCGAAGTCCAGGTAAACGATGATTTTTTTGTCAAGCATGTCCCGAAACACCCCGTTCATGGTGAGCTGGAAAGTCGAGGGCGCGTTCGTCAACCCGAACGGCATCAATGTGTATTCGTAACTGCCGTAGCGGGTGCGGAAAGCTGTTTTCGGGCAGTCGTCGGCGAACACGCGAATTTGATGGTAGCCACCTCGCAAGTCGATTTTCGAGAAGAAGCGAGCCCCGCAAAGCTGATCCAGCAGGTCGTCCGCTCGCGGAATCGAGTAACGTGACTTGATTGTGATCCGATTCAGCGCTCGATAGTCGATGCACATGCGCAGGCCTCCGTCCTTCTTCGGCGTGAATAGTATCGGGGCGGCGAATGGTGACGTGCTTGGCCGAATGAAACCTTTTGAGAGCAGATAATCCAGCTTCTTCTGCAACTCGGCAAGCTTCGGTTGGCTGAGCCGCCACTCGGACCTAACAGTTGGTTGCGCGCCGGGCTCTAGCTCGATCTTGTGGTCCTTTGGGCGATGAGGTGGCAGCCCATCAGGCAGGTCATCCGCGAAAATGTCGGGATACTTCCGAATGATGCTCACCACATCGTCAGGTACAGCAGCACAGAGCGTGTCAATGTCTGCGATTTTTTCGGACGCAACCACCTCGTACAGCTGTACAGCGTAGCCTTGTGCTCCTCTTTTTATCGCCCTTGTCAACGTGATGGCGTTGACACGTGTAGTCACCGGCTCCGGCTCCGTCCATTTCGGAAGTGTCACGCGCCCCTTGTTGCTCGGCACGTGCATGCTCCTGTCGTCCAGTCGATCGTCAGATTGAATCGCTGCAGCCAATCTCGCCCCAGCAGCACATCGCAAGCGTCCAGTGTTGTCGCCAACATTTTCATTGAAAACCCGAAATCGTCGCCACACTTCATCCGAATTTGTCGCACCTCGTCCCGTATCGCCAGCGGTGTCCCGTCCACCAACCGTGCATTGATCTCAGGCAGACACCTGTCCAGCCCGACTCCAATTCTTTTGGCCGTTGCCTGGTTGACGAGACTGTGGCTCGCCCCACCGTCAACGAATGTTTTTATTGTGTAGCCGTTAACCCTCCCCACGACCAGCACAGGGTGATCCACGTGTTCATCCACTTTATTCGTCCGGTTGCGATCGATAGCCCGTATCGGTACCACTACTCGGTGTGGATGGTGATTGCCGGGCGACTGGGTCTTGTCAGTAGGTGGCCCGGCTGCTACTGGCTCGTCTCTTTTCCCGACCCCTCTCCGTCGTGTCAACGGGAGTTGTTGTTGGCCCCGTCCTCGCTTGGGCGGAGCCGACCTCGGGGTCGGGTGTGAGGAGTGTAGCCGACCTGCAACAGTGGGCGAGCTGGTCGACGGGCCTGGTCGACCTGCACAAGGGCCATTGCAAGGGCGCCGACCTTGGGAGGGCGCCAACTTCGGCTGGTTGACTTGGGAGGTCGACCAGTGGAGGGCGTCGACTTGGGTGACGCCGACCAGGGGAAGCCGACTGGGTGTGGTCGGCTGACAGGTGTACTGGTCGACCTAGAGTTGGTCGACCAGGTGGGTTGTCGACCTAGAGTTGGTCGACCAGGGGAGTGGTCGACCTGGTGTGGTCGACATGAGGTGGTCGTCGACCTGGGCGGTTGACGGGTCTGGGATGACACAGCTGGTCGACATGGTTGCCTGGTCGACCAGGTTACCCGGACGACGAGGTCTGCGAGGTTTGCATCTGTCGCCCAGATAGATTGGCAAAGTCAACCTGCGGTTCGGTGGCACGTGGTCAACAGGAATCCTCAGGTGCAACCGTCGACATGTGGTCGACTTGGCACCTGCGCAATGTGCGTGGCGGTGCATGTCGTAACCGTCACTTTGCACCTGTGAAGTAGGTGCGCGCACATGAGTACCTGTGGTGACCTGTGGTGGCATGTTGTTGGTGTGCTGGCACGCCAGCCTTGCATGTCGTCAGAGGACGCCTGAGGTCGACCAGCTGGCAAGTCGCTTTCGTGCTGAGCTGGTGGTCGACTTGCATGCTAGGCTTCTGATGTAGTCTACCTTGCCAATCTAATTGCTACCATTGTTCTCAACTTTTGCTAGTGAAACTCTTGCGGTTTTGCCCTGTGAACGCACAAGTGCTAGAGAACGACTAAGTGAACGAACGCATAGATCCCTCCTACCCCGTGCCTAGCCCGTTGTCTAGCTCCTGTTGATAGAGTTATCTCCGCACGTCGTTCCTGTTTCCTTGCTTCAGCTTCGGGCAGTCTTTCCTCCAGTGGCCCGGTTGGTTGCAGTTGAAGCATGTGCATGGGGAACGTCTTGGCGCATCCACACCGTTGATTGTGGGCTGGCGAGGCGGTCCACGAAATTGATTTCCCTCCCGGGAACTCATTCTCGCCCACTGCATCAGCGCGTCCGTTGATTCGGCCAGCTGGACGGCGTCGTTGAAGTTGCGTGCCCTCGTTCGTCGCACCTCATACTGAACCTCGTATTTGAGGCGTGCGACATATCGATCGAGTCGCTCCGCGTCACTCATGTCGTCCACTTGGTCGGCCAAGGCGCAGAATGTCTCCGTGTAGTCTTGGACCAATATCACCTGCTTCCAGGCACGCAGCTTCATGCGGGCAGAATCCGAGGTGGATACGTGCCCCACTTGAATCTGCTTCGCAGGGCTGCGCCCCACTCCGTCCATGTGCGTATCGTAGCCATTCCGAAGATCGAGGTTGCTCGTTGCGTGACAGATGTCCAGGTCCCGTCATTCGCACGTGATAATCCAGCCGGAGTCCCCTCTGTCTGTTGTGTGCGTCGCCACCACTCCAACGCCGGTCCTCGTAACAGCGACACTGCAAAATTAATGCGCGTGGCATCATAAGCAATTTGCGCAACATTATAGAAAATCTCAACGCCGAACAACCATGCAGACACCGTAACATTCTTGTTGCTAGGGTTGAACGGGGGCGGGTTTGTCGGCTTGATTTTGACAGTTGTAGAAACTGCTGCTGCTGCATGCACCGTGGGCGCTGTCGAAGCCATCACCGGAGTTGTCGCTGACGTCCTTCTCGGCACTGTTCGCGACTGTTGCCTCGCTGCTGCTTGCGACTGTTGCTGTTGTTCTGGCGCTTCTTGCACCTGTTGTTGCCATGACTGCCATTTATCTTCAGCATCCAAGGAGCCTTGTAGCTCGCTGAGTACGGCCTCGTTGAGCGATGAGCTACTTCTAACTTCATCCACGACGAGCGGCTCCTGACGTGTTGCACTCCGCATCTGGCGTAGCTCGGTGTTTTCTTCCCCTAGGCGCTCCATCTCGGCAGACATGGTTTGCAAGTTGGCCTGCATCGCCTGGAACTGTTGCATGAACTCATTGAACTCGGCCTGCTCCATATGTCGCAAGTTCCGTCTAACGGGCAGGGGGTTTACGGCGATTTTTATGACTTTGATGAAGGCGCAACCGCAAACGTAGTCAGGGCGAAATAATCGTATCTATTTCCCAGCTGACCGCTTTGCAGCCCACCAAGTCTATCGCACCCCGTCACTAAACTACCCCGAAAACACGAGGGTAACCTAGGAAAGTAGCTCTGATACCAAGTGTTATGAGTTGTAAGAAGAAGAGTTGCGCAGAATGCAATATCGCGGAAGTGATTACAACGTCTGAGCAAGTAATGAGGCCTAGGGATAATATAGCAAGAGCTAGCTAGGCCGAGGTCGTAGGACCGTGCAAGGTCGGGTGCAGGTTTTGGGTTGGAAACCCCGAAGGCGACGCGAGGGACGTTCGGAAGGCGAGGTTGTCGGACCGAACCTGAACTCCGAAAGTTGGAGTTGTACGCGCATAAGGTGCCTCAGTAAGGAATAAGGAAACTTCCTTACAATCTTCTTCCTTTCTAACCAAACCCTCGCAATGTTTCTTGCATTGTTGGCTCGTTCGTCTGACCCGAGTAGTACAAGTCAGCGCGATCAACCTGCCCGTCGCAGTTAAAATTTGACCCAACCAACCTCTTGCCTGAGAACAATATGTCCCAGTGGTTTCTCACGATCAAAGTTTGATGCCAAAAGTGTGCTGTTATGTGGAATAACGGGTTAAAAATTAACACCCTAGGCTAGGTCAATGCCGGGCCTGATAGGCCTGGTTTCGAATCGTCTCTGAAGCTACCCAACTGGTATTAAAAATTAACCGAGGTGCCTACAGAACAAGGCCTATGTATCAATCACGTGCACCCAATGCGCAGAAACTCATCATCTAGACTCTGCTCCGGCTGCCGCAGTGTGACCTCCTGGCCAATGCTCTCAGCCGCCTCGAGCCGTTTTATGAGACGCCTAAAAATAAGACGGTTGGCATCAAGATGTGCATGGCTATCTTAACGGTATCAATCACATGCACCAGAGTTGACATCAATGCGCAGAAACTCATAATCCAAACTCTGCTCCGGCTGCCTCATTGCAACCTCTTGGCCAACGTTCTCGAGCCGCGAGTCCGCTTTCGATGCCGTTTTATGCAGAAACTCCTTAAAGAGCGCATCCAATCGTGTAGCGACTTCTCGCATGCGTGGGCGCGAGGAAGCAGGCATGCAGGTGCATCGCAGTGCGAGCTCAATGACTTGCAAGAGCAGGTCGCTAGGAATGCTCTCTAAATGAGGGTCTTTGAGGCCTTGGATGTCTCGATCTCGCATGCGGTGGGCAGCCTGTAGAGAGAGAAAAAAAATAGTGGGAGAAATATTTAGCGAACAGCGGAAAAAAAAAATAGGAGAAAAATAGTGGCAGGTTTGTGATTGCTAGGTAGAGGGTGGATGGGATATGGAAGGAAGAGTATGAAAGCATTGTACTGGGTAGAAGGTGTTTCATTCTCACAAACGGCACATAACATGCTCACGAGAAAGTTGCACACTCTACAAGATAGAATAAATTGCAAGCAGTGTTCACCTCACATGTACTGTACTGTACTGTACAGTGCTGTGCTCACCCAATCCTTGATACTGGTGTTGACGCCCTTTTCCTCAACTACAGCAGGCCTTGTTAGCATGACCTCCAGCATCAACACGCCAAAGCTGGAGCACAAATGGGGGCATTAAAAAAGTCAATAAAAACTATAACCTTGAAGGGTTAAGAGATTGTCAGAAGGGTATGAGTTCTGTAGGAAGTTAGGATGGTAATGCTTGATGGGATTAGCATAAGACATGCGCGGTGGGTCCAACTTATAGAAATTCATGATGATTGTAGCACCCACCTGTGCACGTCAGCCATGGGCGTGGCCTTGTTGGTGCGCGAGTAAGCTGGGTCCACATAACCCGGAGTGCCGACCACTCGGGTGGGACTCATTGTAGTGCCTTCTAGAATGCGCACAAGCCCAAACTCTGATACCTTCGGCTGGTGCAGTGTGGGGCAAAGAAGGGGATGAAACGATTTCAAGAGGTTTGATTTGATGCTTGACGCTGTCTCTTGACACTCAAGTTGACGCTTGATGCTCAGATTGATGTACTTGCTTCTAAACAAACATCAAAGACGAGTAATAACATCCATACAGGTAGTAAATGGGAGGCGAGTCAAATGCATTGGCATGATGAGATAGTCTCACTCATCCACTTGTATGTTTTAGCAGACTCATCCTCATCTTCCTCCCCGACCACACTCCATCACCCTCCCCCTCTCTCCCCCCGTTAAACACCACCTCCCGTACCTGCATGCGGGCATCGAGCAGCACGTTGGTGGGCTTGATGTCTCGATGCACGATGTCAAACTGGTGGAGGTACTCCAACCCCCGCGCCACCCCCACCAGCACATCCATGCGCTGCTGCAGCGACAACGTGCCCTTTTTGGGCCCTGCAAGAAAGGATGAAAGGTTAAGTACCCGACGAGGAACATATCAGGAGAGAAATAAGAAGATTGAACATGACAATGGAAGAACAGCTGGGCAGAATATACACGTCTCTGAGTAGCCCTATCAAAATGCAGTGTTTTTAATGCAGTATTGAATTGATTTCACTTAGTCTAAGCACATCTCTCACCACCACTTAGATACTTCTCGAGGTCCCCATTGGAGCAGAACTCATAGATGACAATCTGCTCGTGGTGCTCTGTTGTCACATCCATGTCCACACAGTACCCCAGCAGCCGCACCAAGTGCGGATGGCTCTTTGATGCCATCTCCTCCACCTGTGCCGGGGAAAGGAATTGAACAGAAAACGATGATATGAGCTGCGATGTCATCTCCTTTGACACATCTCCTCCAGCTGCATGAGGAATGATGGTAAGAGGAAAGACATATATGGGCTATGAATTTGTGGGACTGATGAGCCTCTTTCCACACCATATCCTCCATCTGCATGGTAAGGACAGAAAAGGGAGATTTGAGGTAAGAGTTGGATTGGACCAAGAAGGAAGCATGGGGGTTAGTAAGGGCCATAATTTATTCCACTGACGAGGACCACAATGCCGACACCGATGATGATGAAAATTACCACTTTTTTTGTTTTGTTTTGTTGTTTTGTTTTGTTTTGTTTTTGTTTTTTTTGTTTTTTTTGTTTTTTTACATACGTTCGTGTCTTTCGTTCCATTCCGCAGGTACCTTGCCTTCTCACCTCTCGTTTGAAGTCATTCGTGAGTATCTTGGCGCGCTTCACAGCCCACACCACCGACGGGTCATCGGGGCACACCCCTCGATACACCTCCCCATAAGCTCCCGACCCAATGTGGTTCCCCTCTGCCCAGTTGTCAGTCGCCTCGGCCACAGTGGCAAAGGAATAGCGCTGACACATGTGGGCATGGCTTGACATGTCAGACAACCCGCTGCCGCCTGTCGCCCCGTTGCTCACTCGAGTATCTGATTTTATAAAGACAAAATACATAAAGTGTGGCATTCAGGTTAGCAGAGAGAGGTAGATTGCACAGCTTCTGACGAACAGAAGAGGGATTTATGAAGGAGAGTTAGCTTGTAGCAGAAGGAAAGTAATGTAACACACTTGTTTACGAAAAGCGAACAGAGGTTTGTGGAGCGGGATGTAAGACAATAAAAAAAAATCCAATTTAGAAACAAGAGTGAATAGAGGAAATCCACCTGAGTCGAATATCTAACAGCCAGAATTTCACCTTGAGTAGACCTTCGCTTCCAAAGAAGAACCAGGCCAATAACGAGGAAGACAATAACGAGTACGCCTCCCACCACAATGCCAATGATAGCTCCCAGAGGCAAACCAGACGAGGAGGAGGAAGAGGCGGGAGGCACGTTTGTGTCGATGGAAGGAGTGTTAGTAGCAGGAGGAGGAGAGGAGGGGCCAGCAGCAGCAGCAGCAGCAGCAGCATCAGAGAAATGTGCGGCAGGTCTGGTGCATGAGGAGCAGAAGTCGGGGCAGGAGAGGCAAAACTGTGAGGAGGGGGTCTGGTGGACCACACATGGCTGCCCGGCTCCTGGGCACACCGTGCCGCTCTCGTTGAGGTCACTGGGGAGTGGGGGAGGCAGGGAGAAAAGGGAAAGGTTGAGAGGAGGAGGGGGCCTGGTGGACCACACAGGGCTGCCCGGTTCCTGTGGGGCACACCGTTCCGCTCTCGTTGAGGTCACTGGGGAGTGGGGGAGACAGGGGAGAGGAGGGAGAGGGAGAGAGATGGCAAGTAGCGTTGATCAATGGAAGAGGAGGGAGAGGCATAACTGCGAGGAGGGGGTTTTCTGCACCATGCACGGCTGCCCAGCTCCTGTGGGGCACACACTCTCGTTGAGGTCACTGGGGGGTGGGGCGAGGGGGAGGAGGGAGAGGGCAAGTAGCGTTGATCAACAGAAAAGGAGGAAGGGGCAGAAATGCGAGGAGGGGGTCTGCTGGACCACACACGGCTGCCCTGCTCCTGTGGGACAGACCGTGCCACTGCCATCCAGCTCGCTGGGGAGTGAGGGAGAGGAAAAGAGGGGGAGACAGAAGTTTTGATCGAAGGAAGGAGGGAGGGGGCATCAGCATCAGCATCAGCATCAGCATCAGCATCAGCATCCTTCGTCATCGTCATTGTCAGCGGCAGCAGCAGCATTGTTGGTGCAGGAGGGGCAAAAGTCTTCTGCCCTTCCCCACTTAACACTTCCACTCCCAGCCCCCCTTACAGTCACACCTCTCATCGTTTCTCACACCTCCAATTACAGTCACCCCCCTGTACACTCACAGCGATGTGAGGAGCAGGAGATTCTCGAGGGTGGGAGGAATGATGCCCGAGAGAGCTCTGGTTGCTCATGACTCGACTCTAAATTCATCCCCCAATACATCCCCGCCCTCCCTACCCCCCAACCCCCACTTACAATCACACCCCCTCGTAAGCACACTCACAGCGATGTGAGGAGGAGGAGATTCCCGAGGGTGGGAGGAACGGTGCCCGAGAGAGCGTTGGTGGCGAAGCCCCTGCAGGGAGGTGGCGGGTGATGGGTGATGGGTGGCAGGTGATGGGTGATGGGTGATGGGTGATGGGTGGCAGGTGATGGGTGATGGGTGATGGGTGGCAGGTGATGGGTGATGGGTGATGGGTGATGGGTGGCAGGTGATGGGTGATGGGTGGCAGGTGATGGGTGGCATGGCAGGTGATGGGTGGCAGGTGATGGGTGGCTACTTTTGAGACGTCTTAAATGACGGGTGGGTAAGCATTTTAAGTGACATTGGAGAGCATTGGTGGCGAAACCCCTGCAGGGAGGTGGCGGGTGGCAGGTGATGGCATGGCAATGGGGCATATGAAGTGACATTGGAGAGCACTGGTGACGAAACCCCTGGAGGGAAGTGGCGGGTGGTGATGGGTGAGTGGAAGCGTTGTAGCATTGGCAGGGAGGTGGTGATGTTATCATGTCAGTGGGGAGGTAGCATTAGGGAGTTGGCAGCAGGGTGAAATTCCTTACGAGTGATCTTACAGATTTGTGAGGTTTGTGAGGCTTCCCAGTTGGGAAGGAATTTCTCCAAAAAACTGGTTCTCGTCGAAGTGCCTGCAACAACATGGTTGGAGAATTTATAAATAGGTATTGTCACTCACGGTTGCCTCACAACAATGCATGCTTTGATATAAGAACACCTTAGTGAGATTATTATTGCTAGGATAAGCATCAAAACCTTGAATATAGCTCAGCGCATCATAAAATTCGACGAAACTTGATCAACGCTTCTATAAGCGTGTGTGCGTGCGCTCAGCGGAGAGGTGAGGGTGGGACCGAACAAGGGAAGCGACAGGGGCGAGCTTTTAGGGGCCTCAAAAGAAGAAAGTGCTGAGGCGAGAGGACGGTAATGCTGGGTGACAAGGAAGAAGCCTTGATCAACGCTTTTATTCGGGGGTGTGAGCTTAGTGGAGAGGTGAGGGTGGGAAAGAACGAGGGGAAGGAGCCTTGGACATTCAGATAACTTGTCAGTGGACTCAACATGTAGGGGTGAGGGTGGGACGGATGAAAGCAGACAGCACACTTCTTGCAGTGCCTACATGTTATTAGAGGGCATTGGAGCTTCTGCAACATGGCATTGGAGCTTCTGCAACATGGCATTGGAGCTTCTGCAACATGGCATTGGAGCTTCTGCAACATGGCATTGGAGCTCCTGCAACATGGCATTGGAGCTTCTGCAACATGGCATTGGAGCTCCTGCAACATGGCATTGGAGCTTCAGCAACATGGCATTGGAGCTCCTGCAACATTGGAGTGTATCACTAGAGCAGCTCACTCACAGCATGTTGAGTCTGGTGAGAGTGGCAAAGAAAAGGGGTGTTTTTGAGGCGCCTAAAGAAAGAAGCGCACTCACAGCATGTTGAGTTTGGTGAGAGTGGCAAAGAGAGAGGGGATGGTGCCTTGGAAGTTGTTGCGAGCAAAGTCGCTGGGGAGATGGAATGGAGGGACGGGTGGTGGGAGGGATGGTGGGACGGATGGTGGGACGGATGGTGGGAGGGATGGTGGGAGGGCAGGGGCAGAGACAATGGGAGGGCGCATGACAGTAAGAGGCCCGCTGAATCAAACGACTTTGTCAGTGAAGCAACATCTGAGTGAGCTTCTTAAGTAAGGAGAGGGTCTCTAAAAGCTGCCTGTGAACTTGTTGTAAAGAAGTACACCACA